AAGCTTAGCCCAACCTAAATGAACTTGGCCCATTCCATATATATAAGAGTCCATATTTAATTAGTTCTTTTTGATCACTTAATTAATTCTAAATTAATTCTTGATCAATACTAATTAAATAATATGATTCTATATTAATATATTAGAACTTATAATATATTAATATAAATAATAAATATACTATTCTCAAAAGACTATCCATATAAATTGTGCCGGTGAAGTGCAACCCAAATGGACCATGCCGGGTCGGGTCAAGTACATACAAAATATAGTTATGGACTTAGACATTAATCCAACAGAGGATGTATCTGCTGTTGCAAATATGGCAGGTACATCTATTTTTTCATGTTGTAGTTCTGTTGTCAATTCTAATAATTTTTAAAGTTGGATTGTTGACTCTGGGGAAAATCAACATATGATAGCCTCTGAGTCACATCTTCCAGATACAGTGGATGTATCTAGACTTAACCTTTTTGTAAAACATCCTAATGGTTCTTCTGCTCCAATTAATAAAATAGGAAACTTACAGTTATCCTCTCACCTTACTTTATTTGATGTATTTGCTGTTCCAGACTTTAATGTGAATCTCTTGTCTGTACATAAACTATGTAAGGATAGTGGTTGTGAAGTTATATTTTCTGAACATAATTGTAAAATCTAGGATTCACTATCAAATGAGATGGTGGAGAATGGTAGAGAATCTGGGGGTCTGTATTATCTTGATCATGTTCCCTCAGGTAATTCTGCTAGTATAACTAACTCTAAATGTTATGTTTCAAAACTAACTTGGCATAGTAGACTTGGTCATCCAGCTGATCAGGCTTTAAGTGTTTTAAAAAATCAGCTGAAACTTGGAAATGACTCTCTTCCTCCTTGTGATGTTTGCCATAGAGCAAAACAAACTAGAGAGTCTTTCTCTCATAGTCAGCATGTTTCAACACAACTAGGTGAATTGATTCATTTAGATGTATGGGGTCCCTATAGACTTGCTTCAGTTGAGGGGTTTAAATATTTTTTGACTATTGTGGATGATTAGACTAGGGAAACTTGGGCTTTTCTTCTAAAATCTAAGAGTGAAGTGTTTGATTGTTTCAAGTCTTTTGTGAATATTTTACTTAATCAGTTTGGTGTTAATATTAAGACTGTACATTCTGATACTGGCACTAAATTTGTGAATAATCAAATGAAGTTTTTTTGTATTGAACATGGTGTCATTCATCAAACGTCATGTGCTTACACTCCACAACAAAATGGAGTTGTGGAAAGAAAGCACATACACATTCTTAATGTGGCACGATCTCTTATTTTTCAGTCAGGAATTCCTATTAAGTATTGGGGAGATGCTGTGTTAACTTCTGTGTTTTTAATAAATAGAATGCCTACCTCGGTTTTAAAAGGTTTATCTCCCTATGGACTTGTTTTTAAAAAGGCACCTAGTTTTGATCACTTAAGAGTTTTTGGTTGTCTTTGTTTTGATGTTAAATAAAATATTACCGACAAGTTTTCAGAACGTGCTGAGAAATGTGTTTTATTAGGATATTCTTCTGATAAAAAGGCTTATAAACTTTTGAGTCTGGATACTAACACTTCTTTTGTATCCAGGGATGTGAAATTTTATGAGTCTGTGTTTCCTTACAAGTTAAAATCAACTATGGTTGATAAGACTGCTAATATTTTTGGCCCTAGTGATCTATTTTCCTATGATGTTTTTGACACTAATGAGTATTTAAATGATTCAATTAACCCTGATGAGCTGAGAGTAGAATCTCAGTTGGATGGTACTGATGCAGCCATTGACATGGATGATGTAAACCTTAGTGGGTCTGTCAACCGTAGTGGCGAGGCAGTGGTGCCTTCCACTGCTGATTCTGTTCCTTCTTCTTCAGTTGTGTCTGAAGAAAGTAGTCATTATTTTTTTAATCCCCTCTGTAGAGCAGTCTTTAGGTGCTTCAAGGTCTAGACGTGAGTCACATATGCCAGTTAGATATGATGATTATGTTGTTGAAGGAAAATATAAATATGGTATAGAAAGATCAGTTAACTATTCTTTGCTTGATATTGAGACAAAATGTTTTATTTCCAATTTGAATAAATCTATTGAACCCAAAGATTACAATGAAGCCTTGTCTGATCCAAATTGGATTAAGGCAATGAATGAAGAAATGGAAGCTCTTCATCGTAATCATACTTGGGAAATAACTGAATTACCTAAAAATAGAAAACCAATTGGCTGTAAATGCGTTTTCAAAATCAAATATAAATCAAATGGGGAAGTAGAGAGATATAAAGCTAGATTGGTTGCTCAAGGTTATAATCAACGAGAGGGGATTGATTTTGAGGAAATTTTTTCTCCTATTGCAAAGATTGTTACTGTGCGTATTGTAATTTCATTATCTGTGCATAATTCTTGGTCTTTTTATCAATTAGATATAAATAATGCTTTTTCGTATGGTGATCTCTCAGAAGATGTTTATATGTGTCTTCCTCCTGGGTATTATTCTGCGAATGATTCTAGGGTTTGTAAACTTACCAAGTTATTATATGGTTTGAAGCAAGCTCCTAGGAAATGGAATGGAAAACTTTGTGCATCCTTGTTCTTGTTTGGCTTTAAACAAAGTATAAGTGATTATTCTTTATTTGTTAGGAAATTTGAAAATTCAATAATTGTCTTACTAGTGTATGTGGATGACATTATATTAACTGGTAATTGTGAGACTGAATTTAAAAAGGTTAAGGATTTTATGAAAACTCAATTTTTAATTAAGGATCTGGGTATTCTTAAGTATTTTCTAGGAATAGAAGTGGTAAATTGTGATAATGGTTTGTGCTTGAATCAGAGGAAGTATTGTTTAGAGTTGCTACATGAGTATGGTATGCTAGGGTGCAAACCTGTTAATACACCTTTAGAAACAAATTTTATGATGAGTACAGGTGAGAATGAGAAAGGTAATGATTTATTAAACAATAAAACTGAATTTCAAAAACTTATTGGTAAGCTTATATATCTTACTATTACTAGGCCTGATATTTCATATGCAGTTCAGGTTCTTAGTCAGTTTATGCACAAACCTAGGAAGTCTCATTTGAAAATAGCTTTCAGATTGCTAAGGTATCTAAAGTGTAGTCCTGGAAGAGGTGTAGCAATAAATAAATCTGATAAGTTTGAACTAAAAGGTTTTGTGGATTGAGACCGGGCTAAATGTTTAACTACAAGAAAGTCTGTATCAGGTTACATGGTTTATTTGAATAATTGTCTAATATCACGGAAGAGTAAGAAACAGTCTACTGTTTCTAGATCTTCTACTGAAGCTGAATATAGAGCTCTTGGCTCAGTTACTTGTGAAATAATTTAGGTTTTAAAAATTTTGTTTGAATTAGAGGTTAAAGATCTTATTCCAGTCTCTGTGTTTTGTGATAATGATTCAACGATTAAGTTAGCTCTTAATCCTGTGTTTCATGAAAGAACAAAGCACTTTGAGGTTGATTTGCATTTTGTTAGGGAAAAATTTTCTAATGGAATTTTAAAACTTGGTTAAGATCAGTTCTTCTGATCAAAATGCAGATATTCTTACTAAGTCTTTAAATATAAATCAACATAATTTTTTATCTAAGAAAATAGGCCTTGTTGATGTGTTTAAGAAGGAAAAATAAATATTTCGATTGAGGGGGGATGTTGAAAGTAATAAAGGTTCAATCTCATATTTATTAACTTAAAATGTTAAGTCTTGATAATAAGGGGTGAAAGTTGGTCAAAATATATTTTGTTGGGTGTTAAGTGAAATTGCAGGGAAAGCACGCGGGTCAGAAGATGGATCGGTTCTTTTTATGGGTTTGCTCCATATCCGAGTATCCGTAGTATATATGCTAAGGAAGAGTGCTGTTCGTCAGTTCTAATCACTTCCAGATCCAGAGAGAAGGTTTCTTATTTAGGGTTTACATCCAGTACTCTCGTTTCTTTCTGATCTTGTTTTGTTCATCTGTTATGATTGATAAGTTGTTATTCTCTTATGGTCAGTATAGAGTTTCAGATGAATAGATTTGTGTCAACTGTTTAGATTAGGGTTGAGTGATAAATCAAGAGAGTAGAGTAGGTTCTTTGTAGTGAGGTTTTGTTTGTAAGTTTGTGAAAACCTTCTGTTTCTTAATCCTAAAATGATATAAGAAAAGAAGATGTTGGGAAATCTGTATTATCTAATTTCAACACCATATGGCATCTCATGTATAAATGTACTCTTGGATCTTCACTTGAATGGACACAGTATTTATTTTTAATATTATCTTTTGAACCAGGAATTTTTTTTAATAATTACATCGAGTATACAGCAAGTATGTAAGAGATTCAAAAACAGACGAGGTCCAAAATCATGGGAAATATGATGAGCTTTCTGGAAAAGAAAATTTGATCAAACTGAAATAATCAAAAGTTCGTTGACTTTGAACAAACCAAAAGTCATCTGGCGCCTGGCAAGGGTGTAGATGTGATTATAAAAACTATTTACTACACAATATAATAGGTGCTTATTTTAATTAAATATTTAAGAGGGTCACTTTTGAACTAATCTATATTAGTTGATTTTAAACTTGTTTTCCTTTTACTTGGTTGTTTTTATTTTATCTATTTGACAACCAAAATAGAATATAACTCGATTTAATTTATTTACGTAAATGGATCATTAATTATTTTGAAATGGTGTATAGCGTATAATACAACGTGAAAAACAAGTTTGTCTAGAATTTTCAATACGGACTTAGGAGTCGGAGAGGGTCCATTTCTGGGTAACTTCCAATTTTCTTGAAGTAATTGTAAATTTTACGACGGGCAGCCCACTTTTAGAAACTGGTCACCTATGACCCCCCTACGTATAAATTATAATCCTATATTCTTTTCAACCTTTCACTTTGGTCAACACGCGCAAAACAACAGGACCAACTCCATATAAATAACACAAATTTCACATTTTAAAGGCTCAGGGCTACCAGTTTAAACATTCGGTTTCATAATGGACAAAGAACAGCAATACGAACGTGTATTCAGACATCTGGACAAGAATGGTGACGGGAAGCTATCACCACCGGAGCTCCAAATTTGCATTGGAAAGATTGGTGAGGAGTTGTCATTGGAGGAGGCGGAGATTGTAGCTGAGTTAATAGACTCAGATGGTGATGGATTATTGAGCTTTGATGACTTGGTTAAAGTGGTGGAAGGTGCAAATGAAGAAGAAAAGGCGAATGATTTGAAGATGGCGTTTCGAATGTATGAAGAAGTTGAGGGGTGTGGTTGTATAACGCCCAAGAGTTTGAAGAGGATGCTTAGCAAACTAGGAGAGTCGAGAAGTGTGGATGAATGTAAGTTGATGATCGCCAAGTTTGACCTCGATGGCAACGGGTTCCTTGATTTCGGCGAGTTTCAGGACATGATGTCATGATGATTAGTATGATTCAGAATATTAATTACCTGATTGATTCATACTTCATGTGTACGTTATGTATTCTTTCATTCTTCACGCCTTCATGGCCTATATGCCTATATGTTTGTGCGTTCGTTCGTCTTTAGATAATTCTTTTGGTGATTGACATCATTTAATTTGTTTTTTTTTGTATATGTGATAGATGATTCATTCGTCCGAGTTGTAAATATAATTGGCTAGCTATTTATTTGCAATTTCACTTGTTACTTATCTATCGTCTTTTAATATACACCTCTTTATAAAGCTCAAAATTAATCGTAGTTTGTTTGTTGTAATGTTGGTGGTATAATTAGGCATCAGAAAAGTACCTTCAAGTTGCATTTAAACGATCTGACACGACGAATGTGTGAAATTCTGGAAAATCAAATCCAAAAAAAAAAACACGTACACACCGGAATATGAATACATCAACTATATTATATTCAGTTTATTGATGATGATATATTTCTAATATTTTATTAAACAAAATGTAACTTGTTCTTAATTGTACTGCTTAAATGAAATACTTGCATGTATCTTTTATATAAAATATAGTAGATATATAATTAAGACCTGGCTGTACGTAGTTGATAATTGGGGTGCACGTTGGAAGGTCCTTTGCCAATACACAAGTAGAGCCAGAAGGACACATACATTTAACATTACAACATATTTACAAGATGAAACTTGATAGAAACTGAAATACCTATAAAGTAACGTTTACTCAATTTTTCATTTTTCTAATATATGCAACGCATGATGCTGTAACGTTGGTTGTATAAAACATGGAATTAAAGAAGTTTTAGAATAAGACCAACTTAATATAATTAAAACTTAAAAGAAACACCTGGATCAACCGTTGGGTCAAGGGCGACACCAACTATTAATAGTTATAGGCGTATAGCCCACTCATCAACAAGTCATTTTTTTTATTGAACGGCAAGTAGGACTTTATAAGCACAAAACTAGCCAAGGGCTAGGAGGTACAAAACAGGAGAAGAAAAAAGACCAAGAAGAAAAAAGACTGAAAAAAAACAGGGCAAAATTAATACCTGCAACAGCATTCTAAAATGGGATCACAACTCCATTCTATCCATCTTAATTGTAGACATTTTCGTTTACGAGTATTAATCCATAAGTATGAGAGGGATTGAACCTCGTGAGTCAGCACCAAATGCGACTTCAACTTTGACGAGTAGGCTTTTAGGTTTCTGTAGCTCCAGACCACCAAATGAACACCAACATTATGGCTTCGTGTATCGGTGACAATCTTTGGTGACCACCTAGCTTTGATCTACATTTGAGAAACTCATGCACCTAAAGAGAGGGGTATTCTAACAAATGCCACCAACTGTACACCTGTTGCCAGATGTCTTTCGAAGTCGGGCACTCGACAAAAATATGGTCCATCGTTTCTGGGGCTCCGTTGCATGTCCTACAAATGCTCGTTGACCTAATACCGAGTTTGTTGAGATTTTCCATAGATAGAAGCTTACCATGACATTCTCCAGGCCAAAATATTCAGTTTCCCAGGTACAAGAAGATTCCAAGACCAACTAGCATCCGATTGTGGGAGGATTGACTTATCAATGAGATTTTGAGAGATGCGACAGTGTAACTCCCTGAGTGGTCTAATAACCATTGCAACTTACTTGATCCATCAACATTGATTACTGATTCAAACTGATCTAAAAGCACCATGTTTTCCTTCTCAAGAGTTTTAGAGATATTAGCAATTGATCCCCAGCAACCATTCTGCCTTTTAGCAACCGAGGGACAATGGAAACCCCCGCTAGACCCATAAATGGATCTTATCACCTCAACCCATATACCATTAGGGAAAGTGTTAAATCTTCACCACCACTTCCCTAATAGAGCAATATTTTATGCCTTTAGACTTCTAATCCCGAGCCCACCCCTATCTCTTGATGTAAGAACCTTATCTCATGCAATCCATGCCAACTTTTTATTCTCTATGTCCCTAACCCAGAAGAACCTCATTCTAATATTTTCCAAGTTTTTTATGACTTTCACAAGGGGCTTTATATAAGGAAGTCTTTAGTGTTGTGACGAATGAATAATGTATTGTTACACTACCTTATTTGTTGTGTCCTTTTAGTTTTTTTTTTTTGTCTAATTTACTGACTGAGGAGCCCTTTCCCTTCAAAAGCTTCATGGGATGGTAAAGTTTATCTTCCAATAAATTTTATATTAGATAAAAAAATGTAATGCAATGGTGCAATTTGAAAGAGTGTCTTGCATGTTATGTGTCTTTGCTTATCAAAGTGTGTTGGTATTTTTATAACTAATAATCTAATAATAATATGATTTTAGACATTTGAAGCTTCGCTGCCTAAGCCTTGGACCTTGATTGGTAAGATGCATGTTGAAGTTGCAATCACCATCATCAAGGGTTTTTTTTAAGGAAGGAAGAAGTAATATGGAATTTTTTGGCCACATAAGCAGTGACCATAAAGTTTAAAGTTAACACTTAATACCATGACATACATATAATATAATGATTTGAGGATAGTCGAATTTTGAAACGTTGTCCTTGGGTTTTTGTATATAGATGTACATGTAGTGGTCTTAAATTGGGGAAAAAGACGAACCATTACCATTAGGGTATAGTGTATAGATAGATATAGTTAGCCCTAGTTAAAAAGGAAACGTATATTTATTTTTTAAATTAATATACAAATATACAGAATCCAATTTGAGTCAACCAATTGTAAACCCGTATTAAGTTAAGTAAGCAAGTCGTGTAGGTGAGCAACCGAATCCCATCTGGCGCCAGCAAAAAGAGAGGAAGGTACAAGTCAACTTCATGGTGTATAGAATTCATGAACTACCAATAGCAATAGCAATAGCAATAGAAACCCTGGCTCCCAATTGCTGTACAAGTCACATTATTTTATTTCATTAACAAAAGTGTAGTCTTGTTTCTACATATACAAACTACAGTAGTAGAAACAAGTCATAAAGTGGGATGGATAATCTAGTAAAAGTGTTCTCTTTATAAAGTTTTGAAGCGGTTGTTGTTGTTGACAGATGCTCTGAGTAGGGATATAACTCGAGTCAGGTCTCCAAAAACTGAACTGCTAGCAAGAATGCAGTTTGCGCCTGCAGCAGCTGCCTCATCAATGGTTGAAGGCCCTAAACCTCCATCTACCTGCCATTGCCACAAAACATCAACTTTCAACCACATAATTGATAATACAGTTACAGATCAACACAAACACTAACGTCTATATCAAGCTTCAGATACTTTTCTCTCAGTGTGCGCACCTAAAACCAAATCCATGGAAAAATACAAAATCATTTAATGCAAATTTGTAACAAACTCCCCATAAACAAACAGTACATGACTCATGCCACCTTATTCATCATATCTGGAATGAACTGGAATGAACTTCTGCCCACCAAACTCAGGTTCCACAGTCATAACAAGAACCATTTCAACACACATTTCACCTTCAAGTTATCAACCAACCAGTGACAAAACAAAGCATATATTAACATCAAGAGGAGAGTGTTTTATGCACTATCAGAAAGATCCTCAACTGGTGTTCCTGGCTTTAAAGCCACACCAGGCCGCATGCCTTTCGACTTTATCTGCTTAACAATTTTTTGCCAATTACCTGTGACAATGTAACAACAACCATGAGTGATTTTAAATACAAAATAAATAACAATATAATCACACCTTTAGACACCTCAACATGAAATGTGAAACCAGAAGCACCATGAAGTGGATCAAAGTTTCTATGGGACAATCAAGAAAATAACAACCGCCTCAGGCGTACAAAAACGTACAACCAATATCGAATTTGAGACAAACACAGTTTGGAAATACAATACCTCAAACTTATATTAATAGATAAACTTCTTGTTTCTTTTTGATCGACCCAAATAAAGCTTAGGAACTTCAGAGTACAAACTTTTATGAAACTCGACTGCAACTGGATTTTGGTGGGCTTGGCCCAAGATACGCCGGTTAAGACTTAAGCTCATTGTCACAACAGAGGTGCAAAAACCGGTTTTTTGGCCAAACCGGTTCGGTTTGAGTCGAGTTAGTCAAATCTGGTCTTGCCTAGACCGGTTCCAACCTAAAAAAAATTGATTCTATGTAAACCGGTTTGGACCTGATCAAAACCAGTTCGAATAAAACCGGTTAAAAAAACGTTAATTTTGGGCTTTTGTTCGCTTGGTTTTGGTTTTTAGTAATGTTTCCATCGCCTGATCATCCCACAAATATAAGTTTGGTCATTTTTGGAACTCCAAGCATTTCACAATTTTTAGTTTAAGTAGATACATCATATATCATACATGTGTGTTGTTGTTAAAGGCTCGAAGCTTTAAAGTAAGAGACATATTTTTGGAGCAATTTTCACCTTTTTTTTGGTTTTTTGATATTTTGAAATACATAAAACATTAAACTAATATATCTTCAAAAGTAAAACATTGTCGTTGCCGTTTTTTATCGTTCGTAGTTGTAGCAGTTGTTTTGATTTAGTCCTCATCCGCCATGTCGTTGTGTAATGCGCTTCCAATCTCGAGCTCTTGTATAGTGAGTGCATCATTATTTTTGTAAATACATGTGGAGCCCAATATTTTCTCTCCAAAAGAGCCCTTGTGGAAAGTATGAATGCTCAAACATATATAGTTACTTATAAAGTCACGTCGCACCGATGTCCGATACACTAACACTCCCCTTCATAGTTAGAGGTTCGATGATGATAAACAGGGATGTGCTGAGCCACAAGGGTCTGGGATGGTGACTATGATACCATGAAATATATGTGGAGCCAAAAATTGTCTCTACAAAAGAGCCATTGTGGAGAGTAAGGAGGTTCTAACATATATAGTTACTTATAAGACCGTGTCGTGTCAATGTGGGATACACTAACAATTTCGTCCTCATGTATTTTTTGTTCAACATTCAACAATTATCCTTCAAGTAGTGAAATGGTTTGTACCCGTTCTACACCGTCTAGGTAGTCTTTCAAGCAAATGCACATTTCTACCGACATATGGGGAAGTTTTGTTCTTCTTGGTGATATAACCATGCCACTAACAAAAAAAAATCAGATTTCTATCCGTAGAAGCGTGGACACTTAGTAGACCACGGGCCATAGTGGCTAGAACCGGAAATTGGGATTCATTTTCTTTCCACCAAGCCAAAACATCCAAATTATCAAACTCTTGCACACTTATATGTGCCAAAAATCAAAATCAATGTACTTTCCGAGTTCGCCACTAGGGGTGCTAGATTGAACTCGTTTGGTATTTTCATTCCTTAAAGTATTATAGAGTTGAATTTTTTCATTATTTAGTGAGAAGTGGATCCAGATCCCTTCATATTTAGCATCGTGTCATGAATGTTTGTTGAAACATACTTTGTTAATTAAACATCAAACAAACTTTGGAAAACTTTGTTAAATTTTGAAATTTCTTTTGATGCAAAATCTACATCATCTCACAATAAACCCAAATCGTAAGAAATAGTTTTAAGTAAATTCTCAACCTCTAACATTTAGAGTCGGGTTCGAAGTGGCAGCACAAGTTACAACGGGAGGCATATTTTGAAATATTTTCTAAACTTTGATTTCATCGGTTTCACCATTTGTGCAAACATTTTGCCTCTAATTTCAAACTCGTTTATTTTAACACATTAAAAAGATTTGGTTTAAATTAAACAACTTGTAGGATAATACACCCCCGATAAAAAACTAGTTGCTTTTCTAAAAACTCAAAGCATTTCCGAAACAAGCTTGATAGTATGCTAACTCGACTCCGAATAAGTCGTAACCCGATTACGTTCCGCAAGGTTGTCATGAAACATTTTTAAAGTATCTTTTTGACGTATGGCGCATAAACATGTTCCAAGTGGAGTTCCATCTAGTAGGCAACTCCCAATTTGGACCTAACCAAAGGGCATTCACATCATCACAAAACTTCATATATTTATGATATCGAGCATTACTATAACTAAAATATATTTTAGCATTTGTTTGAAAGCATCTTTTACAAGTTCAATGCAATATAGCCCATCTTACACAACCAAATTAATGATATGTGCAACACATAATGTAGAATAAAACACCATCACAAATCAATTCATATTTTACTTTTAGTTGTCCAACCGTGGCAATGTTGTTCGATGCATTTTCAAAATATATAGAAAAAAACTCCTTGAAATTTATAAGTTTTGATCATTTAATCTAAAAAATTATATAAATTTTTTCAGGTGTGTAGAGATCCGAACAATTCAAACGTAATCGTATGCTTCGCCATTACCCAAGTTTTATGATTTACCCAGTGAGCAATAATGCAAAGGTACGAATCTGGTGAACCGTGAGGAGCCACCCAAACATTGTAACACACTGTTCCGAATCGTTTCCTAATTCAGGGATGTGACCTGAAGATCGGTTATTATAAGGCTTAGGGCTTTTGGGAAAGAGAGATTTAGACCAATTTGGGTGTGGGAAGGGTAAGTTAGATGATTCGGGAGTCCGGTTTGTGATTTGGAGCTCATGGGTATAGCCGTAAAGTGGCAGTTCGGGCTTTTTATGACTATTGGATTTTAGTTCGGGAAGTTCTAAGGAAAGGATGAGTTTATAGAAGTGTAGAGCTTCTTGTTACATTTCCGTGTGTCACACCCCCAAACCGGAAGGACGGAAACGTTCGGGGGCGGAGGACGTCATGTAAGTATCATAACACATGCATTATAGTAATCAAAGTACAACCAACCATTGCATTAATAAGTATAAGTTTTACATAGGTATTTTAAATATTTCAAATTAAAACATCAAAATAGATACAGAAGACAACAGGAGTCGCAGTACGGTACTAAGCAGTCTTCTCAAAAGCTTCGGGGGTGTACCTGTCTACTAGAGCCCTGAGAATACAAGTAAGTTTTGAAAGAGTATCAGCATAAAGCTGGTGAGTTCATAAGCATTTTGGTTTAGAAAGACGGTTCTCGGTTCTTTTGAAAAGTGCAATATCTTTCCCAGAAAACCTTATCCTATCTGGTGTAATAAATGTATAAACCTTAAGTAAAATAATCTTTTGATATATGTTGAAAGTGTTCCTCAACAAAATCCCATATTTTCTTATGAAAAGCATGATTAAACCCATTTCTTCTATGACTTCTTGGTTCATACTAGTCACGCATAAACCAAGGAGTTATGGAGGAAATATGAATATTCGTTAGTTGATTAATAAACCATATGTTTATAAAATACTGATGTTTACCCTGCGAAATCCTGCATTTCCCTTAAGTGAAGGTTATTCAATTACCCGTTCTAAATCGGAAATTACAAGTATCTACCATACTTATATCGTTTAAGCATTATTCCTTTTGAAAACCCTGGTTACCCCCAGTGATGTATATTAGTCTTATTACATAAATAAAAATAATTGAAAAGCGAAATCCCGTAAACAATTGATTAGTTTATACTTATTGTGAGTCGTATAACCATGCTTGATATGACCTAGAGACCTTTACAACGTTCTTCAAGTGTTGGTTAAATGACATTTGTCACCTCAGGCATGCCTGCCTAACTGTAGCTAGCAGTTTAGGTGTGGGATTGTCAATCCCGAATAGATCTATTCACAAATCTCACGCTCTCCCTCCAGGAGACTCTGGTTATACTATGATAGAATTTAATTCAGTACACCTAAGGGTACAGTTTTGAAGTAGAGCCTCACAATTTTGTACAATCTAGTTTACGACTTTACGACTAATAATACAGGAAAACCCTTTTTGTTATTAACATGAATCCTTATAAAATAACATCTTTTGTTTCATGATTCATAAGTTCATTTCCTTAGTTTTGAAAACTACTTTTGCAAGGTTAGTACCTTAATACTTTTTGTAAAACTGATATCTATATCCGATGTATATAGTTAATGGAAATATATTAAACAAAATAATATATTTGAACACAAGATTACTTGTGCTTTTACTTGTATCCCCCCTGAAAACATTAAAAACTCGGAAAATGTAGGGGTATGAACTCACCTCGAGTGAGTGGTTTGAATGAAAGATCGATATGAGATGCTGAGTGTCAAGTGAATCCTCGAACACAATTAGATCCTCTTTAACATGTAATAACACATATATGAGTCAAATTAGGGTATTTCACTACTAGACATGATGGGAAACCACTCTAGGGACTTGGAAATACTTGAACTAAGTGTCAAAATCACATGTGATTGAGTGAGGGAGGTGTACGGCCACCTTAAGGGTGTGTACGACCATGGGTGTGCGGCCCATGAGTGTACGGCCGTACGCTCATGAAGAGGTGTGATTTTGAGGTGTTTCCAAGGTTCTAACTAGCATCCAAGAAGTGTTCAAGGTCCCATGCTTAGTTGCAATGCAAGTTTGAGGCCTAAAATGATCATCAAAGTGGGTTTACGACCCTAAGAGGTGTGTACGGCCGTACAAGGGGTGTGCGGTCGTACACCCTTCATGTTCATGCCAAATTTGTCGACTCTCAAGTGAATTAAGGCTAGGGTCATGTCCAACTAGAAGTTAGGGGTCAAACTTTCACTGTAGAGGCCCTTTTAAGGTGTATACGACCAACCCTATGAAGGTGTGTGGTCGTACTCCTTCAAAGGATGAAGAACATGATGAAATTTGATGAACCAAGGCTTGAATCAAGAGGTCTTTCAAGTATAACAAGCTAAAGGATGGAATACTTACGTTTTTGAAGCCTTGGAGGGTTCACGGTTGAGTAAACTCGAGAGAGAATGGAGTGGTGTGCAGCAAAGGGAAGAAAGGAATGAAGGAAGGGGTCTACTCATATATATAGGGGTGGGTGACCCAACTACCATGAGTGTGCGGCCATGGGGGGTATACGGCCGTACACCCATGTGTGCGGCCGTACACTCCTCCTGAGAGAGTGTATGGTCTGATTTGCTACTTTACGACTTTGGTAACTCATCCCTAAACTCAATCCTTGGTTGCAATTAAGCTTAGATCACTTAAACGGACCCTTAAACAGTGC